TCAGCATAATGTCCTCAAGGTTCATCCATGTTATGCGGTGGCTTGCTGCTTCTTTGTTATTCTTCAAGCTAGCATAGTATTCCATTGTGTGTATGTACTACAGTTTGTTGATCCATTCTTCAATTGATGGGCATTTTGGCTGTCTCCATCTTTTTACTATTGTAAATAGTGCTATGGGTCGGAACTGACTTGATAGCACTTAACAACAACAATCAAATGGAAGAAATGATGATGTAAAAGAGCTGAACAGATGATGGCAAAGTGTGGTTTGAAAAGACAATGGAAAAAAATTGTAATAAAATGTGCAAAGACCTGGAGTTAGAAAATCAAAAAGAAAGAACATACTTGGAATTTCTCAAGCTGAATGAACTGAAGAAAAATTCAAGCCCTGAGTTACAACTGAAGGATTCTATGGGTGAAATATTGAATGGTGTAAGAAGTATCAAAAGAAGATGGAAGAAATACAGAGTCACTGTGCCAAAAACAATTGATTGAAGTTCGACCATTTAAGGGGGTAGCACATGATCAAGAATTGATGGTATTGAAAGAAGATGTCCAGGCTCTACTGAAAGCATTAGCAAAAAACAAGGTTTCAACAATTGATAAAATACCAATTGACATATTTCAACAGATGGACACAATTCTAGAAATGCTCATTTGTCTGTGTCAAGAAATTTGGCCACCTAACTGAGAGATCCATATTTGTGCCTATTCCAAAGGAAGTGATTCTAAACAATGCAGAAGTGATCAAACAATATCATTAATATCACATGCAAATAAAATTTTGCTGCAGACAATTTAAAAACGGTTGCAGCAGTACATCAACAGGGAACTGCCACATATTCAAGCCAGATTCAGAAGAAGACATGGAACAAAGGATGTCGTTGCTGACATCAGATGCATCTTGGCTGAAAGTGGAGTTTATAAGGAAGATGTTTACCTGTTTTTACTGACTATGCAAAGGCATTTGACTGTGTGGATCATAACAAATTATGGATAACATTTTGAATTATGGCAATTCCAGAACACTTCATTGTACTCCTGAGGAAACTGGACCTAAACCAAGAGCCAGTCATTCAAACAGAACCAGGGAATATTGGGTGAGTGTGGTACTGTAGGATAAGCACTGGACTGTGAACTACAAGGTCGGCAATTCACACTCACCAGCTGCTCCTCAGAAGCCCTACACAGGGTTGCTCTGAGTAAGAACAGGCTCTACAGTACTTAACAACAGCAACAAAATCAGAGAAGCTTTGTGTCAGGATATTAAGCCAGCCTGGCTGCCTTGCCTTGAGCCAACCCAGTTGTCTGCTCTGGATGTGAAGACCCTCCTACCCCATAAAACTCAGGATCCCAGAAGGAGGGACCTAGAGTGACTTGCTTCCCTCAGACTAAATCCAACGAGTGAGAAGGCAGACAGACTCCAGAAAAAAAACAACAACAACGTGGTAGGTGGGTGGTATTCTAGCTGGCCATACACAGTTGGTATTTGCAATGTGATTCTGCAATGAGTGACACTCCTCAGCACATGCACTCCAATGTGACCTGGAAGGAAAGAGCTAAAAGAGACACTAAGTCAGGTTTCTCCCTATCCACATATTGGCCATTCTCCTTGTGTGTATAAAGCAAATTCATGGCATGGGCTGGTGTTCTGGAGCCAGGATCGGTCTGGGGACAGACTGTCATGTGGCACTATCCGTTCCTATTCTCTCCTCCCTTCCTGGGGCCTCTTCTGGGCCCACCACCAGGTACTCCTTCTATCTTTCCCCTATCTCCTCCCACAAGAGGATTTTTTTTTTTGAGCAGGTATTTACTCAGTTTCACCTTGTATCTTAGCTCAGGTGATGGCACAAGTGTCAAATTCTTCCCTGCAGGTGGAAAGATACCGTTTAACAAGATAAGCTACAAAGTGAGATCACAGTATGTATCCAGTGGCCCATTCACTCATTCATTCACCCCCCTTGATTTTTCTATCCTGCAAATGTTTACTGAAGTAGATGGAGGAGTTGTGCCTTGCCAGGCACTAAACTAGAACCAGGGGATTCAATGGTGGGAAAGACACAGTAATGTACTCAAGGATCATACAAGTCTAAGGACAGAAACCCTGACCTCCAGTCTTCTGGAAAGTGGCCACTAAACAAATCAGATGTTTCACCAGGTGGTTAAAGAACCAAGTGTGCAAAGGACTAGTTGAGAAAGAGCAGGGATTGGGGGCAAAATCTTAATTCTGCTGGCCACCTGGCAAGGCTGTTAGCATCATAACTGTAGTTTTCATTAGCAGACCGTACAGAGTGAGTTGCTCAGTCTCCTCTTGCTACGCAAAAATAAGCCATTCTCTTTCTGACTGTTGCAGCACCATTGCCAAAGGGCCGCAGTCCTGTCACTTTTAGAGATTGGGGCCGAGGTGTCCATCACAAAGGTAGAGTGTAAGGAAAGTCTTTCTAAGCTGTTTCTCTCTGGTCTCACCATGGCTCCCATAGGACTTTACCATGACACTGTACCTGCGGCATTACTGGAAGGTTTAGAGGCTGGCCTTCCCCAGCACAAGCAACAAGAGCATGACCTTTGACAGTAGGCTGGTGAAGAAGATCTGGGTTCCCAACATCTTCTTTGTTCACTCAAAAAGGTCATTCATCCATGATACTACCACTGACAACATCATACCATGTGCTGTACATGAGGTAACTTTCCAGAGGTCATTGTTTCTTTGTCCAATGGTATTTCAATATGTATAGGTCATCCTTTGGTCCCTGAAGAGTTTGTCACTGTGGTTGAGTCTGTGGACTATGTGGGATGGCATCAGCCTTCTGATGCCAGTCTCAGTGGGTAATGAGATTAGGTAACCTGTATTAAGTTGATAGGGACAATAACCTCCTTTGTACCTTCCACTCCAAACTGAGCTGATGAGCACCTACTATGTGCCTTGCCAGGTAATAAAAACTAAAAACTAATAAAGGTTATCATTCATCGAATGCTGCTGCAGACCGACTTCTAAACTAACTTGAATAATTTATATCTTCTTCTTTACCTTTTCCTGGCCTGCTTGCAGATTTCTCAAAATGAAAATTAAACAGCTGGAGGATGAAAGTGGGGCGAGAGTCCTCTCAGGCGTCTCTTGGGGCAGTGGGCCCCACTGGCTCATGGGACACCAAAAGAAGGGTGCAGTTGTGGGCCATTAGTAGTCAACACCCAGAGTAACTGGGGGAGGGGTACACCAGCCTGGTAAAGGGTATCCAATAGCATCTGCTACAGAAGACAAAACTTTTTAAATTAAGGTTCTATAACTTAGAGTCCTGGTGTGGCACTGCAGGAAAAGCACTAGACTGCTAACTGCAAGGTAAGTAGTTCAAACCCACCAGTCGCTCCTTGTAAACTCTACACAGGGTTGCTATGATTTGGAACCAACTCAATGGCACTTACCAACGACATAACTTAGGATAACTGCTTCCCAACTTCTGAAGTAGGTGGAGGAGTTGGTTGCTCTTGGTTGAGTGAGCTGTTCTCCTGATTGGGCAGGAGCGTGAACCAAAATCTCCCTATGCAAACCAACATGCATGCTTGGGTTGTCTAGGATTACAGTCACTGCCATGTGCAACATGGACTTCAACCACTTTCCCCTGGACTCACAGACCTGTTCACTGGAGTTGGAAAGCTGTAAGTTATCATTGTGTTTAATGACTCATCCTCACCTTGCTTATTCCCTCTCTGACCTTTGTGGTTATTAATTAACATAGACGAAATGCTGACTGCTATGGTAAAGAACTGTTGATTTCCATTTGGCATAAGCTTTCTCTGTTATTGCCCTGGATCATACGTAAAGAAGTCAAATTAATTTCTTTTCCTCTCCCCAAAGATGCGTACACAGATGAAGAAATGATGCTGTATTGGAAGAATGGGGATGAATCACTGAAAACAGATGAGAAGATCTCTCTCTCAGTTTCTAATCCAGAGGTTTCATACCACTTCCAGACTGGTCTTCTACAGTAGCACACTGGTAGCTAACTTTAGCCATGGTCTGATTCAAATATAAAAGAAAACACATTAGAATCCCTCTTTAATGTCAACCTTTATTCTCACAATGAAAATTTAATTTGATTATTAAAATAATGCAAGGTCCTTCAAAATACATTTTAAAACATAAAGTAGAAAGTAAATTTGCTATTCTCTGAAATCCCATTGGTGGTGGTTGGTGGTTATGTGCCGTGGAGTCGGTTCCAACTCATAGTGACTCTGTACAGGGTTTCCAGGGCTGTAAATCTTTACAGGAGCAGAAAGCCTCATCTTTCTCCTGTGGAACAACTGGTAATTTTGAACTGCTGACCTTACAGTTCACAGCGCGATTCGTAACCACTATGGTCCTTGAAATCCCATTACCCAGAGGTAATCCTTCCTAACAATATGGTGAACATCCTTACAGCTATCTTGCTGTAATTTTGTGAATGTGAGTCCTTTGTTCCATACTGTTCTATAACCCAATTTGTTCTGGTTAGCAATATGAAATTCATAGTTTTCCAAGGTAATTAATATAGATTAATTGCTCCTGCTTTGTGTAACCTCTGGTGGGACTCGGGCTGAGACTGAAGTTTTGAGAGAAACCATTTGCAGTTCCCGGTGGCTGTGGAGCCTATAGGACTTCCTGCTTCATTACCCTTGGTCCATTACTGAAAAGCCTGGGCCCTTCCATGGATGCTTCCACCATCCCATCCACCGCTGCATGGTCATCATCTCCCAGTTTTCCTGCCTCCCCAGTAACATCAAATGCTATGGAAAAGAGTGAGGTCCCATTAGGGTTGTATCGGTGTTGGGACATCTGGCCTGCTTCCGCTTACATTCACTGTGCTCCTCCTTGTCTAGCTCTTCTCTGTCACTCTGATGTGAGTTGCCACATCTATTCTTTTCCCAGTTAACATTCAGTTTACTCCGCCTCATGGTGACCTTGTGTGGCATAGTAGAACAACACTCCATAAGGTTTTTTCTGGGTAGGCTTGAACAGCTGAGCATGGTGTTAACCAATTTTACCACCCAGGAACTTCACCTAAGGACACCCTTGTATCCTTACCAAGTTCAAATTAAATCTCTTTCTGAAGTCATTATTTAGAGTTTCTTATAGTAACTGTCTGTTGTGGTGCTATGGATCAGTACTGGACTGCAAACTACAAGGTCAGTAGTTCAAATCCACCAACTGCTCCTCAGAAACCCTATACAAGCTCGCTATGAGTCAGAACCAACTCAACAGCACTCAGCAACAACAACATATAATTGCCTAGTATGGCACTGCTAATAGGCATTAAGCTACTAACCCAAAGATTGGCAGTTCAAACCCACCAGCTGCTCCTTGGAAACCTTATACAGGGTCACTATGAGTCAGAACTGACTCAAAATATCAGAACCATGATATTTTCAATTGCCTTATATGCATGTGAAAGTTGCATAATGAATAAGGAAGACCATCGAAGAAACAATACATAGATATTATGATGTTGTTGTTGTTAAGTGCCGTGGAGTCAGTTCCGACTCATAGCGACCCTGTACAGGGTTTCCGAGGCTGTAAATCTTTACAGGGAGCAGAACGCTTCATCTTTCTCCTGCAGAACAGCTGGTAGTTTCGAACCGGTGACTTTGCGGTTCACAGCCCGATTCATAACCACTACGCTACCAAAGCTCCTTAGAGAAGAATATTAAAAATACCATGGACTGCCAGAAAAACAAACAAATCTGTGTTGGAAGAATTACAGCCAGTATGTTCCTTAGATGCCAGGATGGCAAGACTCTTATACTTCAGACATGTTATCAGGAGGGCCCAGTCCCTGGAGAAGGCTATCATGCTTGGTAAAGTGGAGGGTCAGCGAAAAAGAGGAAGAGCCCCAAGGAGCTAGACTGACACCGTGGCAGCAGCAATGGGCTCCAACATAACAACAAATGTAAGGGTGGTGCAGGGCCCAGCAGTATTTCCTTCTGTTGTGTATAGGGTGGCTCTGAATGCTCAATGACACTTAACAATAACAACAACATACAACTTTTACTGAATGCCAGGTACTGTTCTTTATGTGATCCAACAAATTTCTACCCAACAACCCTAGGCTGTAGATATTATTATTCCCCAGCTTACAGATGCAAAAATGAGATTGAGAGAGATTATGTTATTTATAGAAGTCATACTTGTAAGTAGCCAGGCAGTCTGCTTTAACCACTGTGTATACTTCCTCTTAAGTATTTTCTGTATTAGAACAGTGTGTTTTGTTTCTTTGGTTGAAGTCCAGATTGAGTACATCTTTTACTTCCGTTATTTAGTATGCACCACACAAGCAAAATCTGTTACCCCATCTTCCAGCTGCTAGCTCACTGTTTTCTATTTGGAGCACAGAGTGTTTCCAAGACAACTCTCACCTGGTTTTCAAAGACAGAAGGAAAAGATAACAGAATAGCCCTAAAAGGAAGGCCCTGTGCAAATCTAATGAAACTTGTGTTTTAGTTCATGGATGCCAATTTGACTAGAGAAAATAAAAGATGTTTCTTATTTGGGGTGAGCTGACTGAATCAGAAGGAATCCTGATGGTACCGTGGTTAAGTACTTGGTGCTAACTGAAAGGTCTACAGTTTGAACCCATCAGTCACTCTGCAGGAGAAATAAGTGGCAGTCTGCTTCTGTAAAGATTACAGTCTTGGAAACACTGTGAGGCAGTCCTACTTTTCCCACAGGGTAGCTATGAGTCAGAATTGACTCACTAGATGACAATGGTTTGGTGTTTGGTGCTGACCTGATTAGACAAGGTCTAATAAATAATTAGTAGTCTCCATCTTCTTTGAAGATCACCTTCTATTTATTCACTCCACATAAAGCACCAGCCTCATTCAAACAACCTAGGAGTCTACACAGTAGCCATGTGCCAAGCTTGTCTGGATCCACCCTATGGTTCCAGCCTTTCTCTATTGACCCAACCCTTCCCTTCCTGACTCAGTGCTAACTTTTCACGCCAGCCACATGGCCTTTGTTTCCTCAGCAATGTTTCTCCAGGTACAGCCTGAGTTCCACCAGTCACCAGGAGAGTGTGTTCAACCAGCACATTTCGGGGCCCCATTGCTGGTTTACTGAATCAGAATCACTGGTGGTGGAGGCTGGAAATCTGAATGTTCAACAAGCTATTTGTTCACATCAAAGTTCAAAGACCATTGAACTCAGCCAGTGATTCTCAAAGTGTGGTGTTCAGAAAACATCAGCATCAGTTAGGGACTTTGGAGGGAGAAACTCAATCTGTGTTATAACAAGTGTTCTAGGTGTGGTACAGAGTCCTGCTGTGGTGCTGCAGGATAAACACTAGACTGCTAACTATGAGGTAGGCGATTTGAACCCACCAGTTCAACCCTATATAGGGTTGCTATCAGTCGAAACTTGACTTGACAGCACTTAACAACAACAAAGTGTGGTAAACAGAGGTTGCTGGGCCCCACCCCCAGAGTTTCTGATACAGTAGGTGTTGGCCCCCAAAATGTACATTTCTAATAAGTTCCCAAGTGCTCTCTTGCTGTTGGTCCAGGGACTCCACTTTAAAAGTCATACATCTAAGTCAATATTTTCAACTCTGGCAGAGCATTGGAAATGCCTGGAAATTTTATAGATAGACTGATGCCTAGGTACCCACTGCAGACCAATTACATAAAAAATCTTTCAGGGAGAGGAGCCCACAGTGAAACAGATCATTTCTATATCCTCGTTTTTCCCCACAAGGAATGATCAAATGGTAAGTGACTTACACAGGCCAGATAGAGGATCAGAAGTAGACTTTAAAAAGCATCTGATCAGCTTATTTCTTCTTGGATGAACACAGAGACTGAGTGAGCGGATCAATCTCCTAATAAAGGAGACAGTGACAAGAGCCCAGCTTCCCTGACTCCTGCTTCAGTAGAAATGCCTTCAAAAAACAGAACCCACCCCCCAACTTCTTATGCCACTGAGTCACCTGAAGAATATGGTTGTGATATGCAAATAATAAACATCAAACAAATAACTAAACAGATACCTTTTCCTACTTCTATCTTTCCCAGGGATGCTATGAAGAGAAGTTGTTGCTGTTAAGGGCAGTTGAGTTGGTTCTGACTCATAGTGACCTTGTATAGGGTTTCTGAGGAGTGGCTGGTGAGCTTGAATCACCAACCTTGTGGTTCAAACCGACCTTGCAGTATAGTGCATTAACCCATAGCACCACACCAGGACTTCTGAAGAGATGTTAGATAAGGCCAAATGAAATTGTAAATATACTAGTATTTATCTACCGGAGCAAGATCAGTGGTTCAAGCTCACCAGTCGCTCCTCAGAAACCCTATAGAGGGTTGCTATAGGTCAGAACTGACTCAATGGCACTTAACAACAACAACAAGGGCTTATATTTTAGAAAGCAAAGGTATTACATTAAGCCAATTGATTGTTAATTTTAACTTTTTGATGGTAAGAGCAATTTAATGAAAAGAAGTGTTTCTGCCTCTCAAACTGTACCTCACTGGCTTCTTCCTTTGTCCCCAGGCTGGTACAACCGTCTGTACATTAACTTCACTCTGCGTCATTACATCTTCTTCTTCTTGCTCCAAACTTATTTCCCTGCGACCCTCATGGTCATGTTGTCCTGGGTGTCCTTCTGGATCAACCGCAGAGCTGTGCCTGCCAGAGTGTCACTGGGTAAAATGATTTCATAAGGTGTAGGAGAATGCCTACCTTTTCAACTGGCCACTATATAAAGAAAAAGAACATTTGCTATCCATCCCCTGAAATTAATTCTTAATCAATGGATTGTTAGAGTCAGAGGGAGCAAACTTTCCTTCTGCTGCTTGCCTCACCGCTTAAACTCTGGCCTCAGTTTCCCCACTGTGGAAGCCACAGGGAGTTAAAATGACATCAACTTGGTTTGAATCACTTAAGCAAGATGTAGCTTTTTTGAGGTCTATAACCTTCTACCACCAGCAGTAATGGAGCTCAGACCTTAGATAAATATGATAGTTCTGTAAATTGCAAACATGTGTTCTGTAAATATAAACTGTTTGCTGATCTTGTTGAGACAGAGTTTGGGAGCAGGGCCCATAACTGTGATGTCTGGGAATGAGCAGGCTACATTCCCTGAAGCTGTAGTTTTAGGCCTTCACTGACTGTGAATTCCAGGGTGCAAGTTTACACCTCCATATTCTGTATCATTGTAAATGTGGACAAAATCATTTCAGCCCTTCAAAATGTAAGGGTTCAGCCACCTAAGACTTTAGCTTTAAGACTCATTGGAAATGCTATACTATATATACTACATTGAATTGTATTATGTTATACTAACCAGCAAGTCAGAGTGAAGAAGAAATGAGTTATTTATAATCCCAGTCTTCATGGGAAGTGTCTCTTCTAGATGAGGAAGAATGTGCTCATTCCTTGATGTTTGAGAAGGTTCCTTTAGAAGTATCCTGAAGTCACTATTTTTAATTCCACATTTGCCATAGTTTAGGTGTTCTAGAAGCGTAAAATCTGTGATATAGATATATAGAGAGAACACGTTTGAGAGAGAGAAACTCACTTCAGGGAAGTAGTTCAGACAATTGTGGGGGTTGGCAAATCCCAAATCCATAGGTCAGGTTGCAGGCTGGAGATCTCGGCTGGCTCACGAGATTGTTAGGAGCAGGAAAATCCAAAATATGCAGGCCAGAGACTTCTGCATACTTGTGTCCCAAGGTCCATAGGTCAGGCTACATGAAAAGTGAAGAGTTCAGGGTTAGCGGAAGTGAGCTCGCAAGAACATTTACATATATTCTGTAGGTAGACCACATCCCCACAGAAACTACCCTTTCAACTAATTGGTTAATCGTATCAAATCACATCACGAAAAGTGGTTACATTATATTACATTATAAAACAGCAACCAGTCCAGTGTTTGCCAAACTTATATGAATCATAGGTCAGCCGAATTAAAACATAAAAAATTAATCATCACAATATCTGAAAAAGTTTTTTGTATAAAGAATTCTTTGACAGCCCCATCACAGGAATCCAGTATCCCAATATGCTTAAAATAGAAAGGAGACAAGTCGTAGCACGTTGTCCAGGTGATAAACAGACCGTCTTTAGGACAGAAAAAACGGTCTGGTTGTTTATGAAGCAAATCCTTGCACCTCTACATGGGGAATTTCTCATTAGATTTAAAAGACGGAGAATGTAAAATTGTGGCCGTTCTGTACCACTGCATGTGACTGAACGAAGAGTTGCCTGTTGTAGTTATCACCAAGGGGCTGACCATGTCCACCATCATCACGGGTGTGAATGCCTCCATGCCCCGCGTCTCCTACATCAAGGCCGTGGATATCTACCTGTGGGTCAGCTTCGTGTTCGTGTTCCTCTAGGTGCTGGAGTACGCCGTTAACTACCTGACCACAGGGCAAAAGCTGAAGGAGTGGAAGCTGCCGGGGAAGGTGAGCCCGCTTTCAGTTTCTTGTCCAAGCCGATGCAACTGGTAGAATGAGGAGGAAGGAAAAGGGGAAGGAGGAAGAGGAGTAATGTATGTGGAAAGGAAGATGTTTATGCAAAAGGAGTGGGATCCTGCTTCTGCTATTTTGGTTCTAGCTTGGGCTACAAAGGTCGCAGAAAATAGAAAGTCTTTTGACAAAGCTGGAAGACTTGGGCTCTTAGGCCTAACTATGCCACCTATGGTGAGCCTCGCTTTCCTCTAGTATGAAAAGGTGACAACAGAATGTTTACGCGCCTTCATTCCAGGGCTATTGTTAAGGATCACCTGAGAAATATATATGAAAATTGTTTTTAAAACCGTAGGATTCTTCTTGTTGTTAAGTGCTGTCGAGAAGGTTCCGACTTACAGCGACCCTGTGTAGGGTTTCCATCGACCTGGTGGTTGGCAGTCCAGTGCTTAACCTCCAGTGCCACATCAGGACTCTAGACATACATAAAATATATTGTTTTAAATCACTCGACTTCGTAAGTCGAGACCCTGTAAAGGATTTGCGAGGAGTGGTTGGTGAGTTTGAACTGCTACCCTTGCAGTTCAAACTGACCTTGTGGTCCAGTGCTTCTCCTATAGCGCTACACCATACTTGATTATAGTTGATAATATAACTATTATCGAATATTGAACAAGTCTAGGAAAAATGCTTCCAAACCAGAAAAGGAGAGAATTCTCAAACAGAAACTCCTTTGTTTATGAGTGCTTTGGCCCAGTGAAAATTCAACCACCTAAGACTAGCCTTTAGGATTATTGGAAGTATTATACTACCCATACTGCACTGTACTATACTGTAGGACTCTAGTCTGTTAGACAGAATGCAAATGAGGACAATTCTTTGACACAGAAAGGGGAATTCTACTCCATTCATTTTCTGATTCTTAGCAAACCACATTAAGAAATAAAATACTGACTTATTACTAGATAACTTTTTGCAAATTAGTTCTAGTATGGTGCTGTGGGGTAAGCACCGGACTGCTGACCACAGGGTTGGTGGTTCAAACCCATCAGCCACTCCTCAGAAAACTTATGTAGGGCTACTATGAGTCAAAACCAGCTTGGCAACACTTAACAACAACAACAAGAACAATCATTACACTAATAAAAGATACAGCGATCAGGGGACATAAAGTCCCACGTTCATGCACATCTAGTGGCTGGTAGCTCCTTGCATATGGAACCGATGTGTTTTAGGAAAAGTATACATGCTACCTTTTAAAAATCAGCTTCAAGTAGCACACTAGGCCTATCAGGTATTTCCAGATAGTTTCCAAATATGTTAGTAGATGGGTTAGGAATTTATTTATTTTTAAGGTTTTTATTGTGGATTGAGTGAAAGTTTACAGGGCAGATCATCAGTTTTACATTCAACTAATCATACACCTTGTTTCATTACAATGATTATAATCCCCTCCATGTACCATCAGTTAACAGTATTTCTCTCTATTCACTTTATCTTTAAAATAAATAAATAAAACACACAAAATAACCACTCAGGCATATGTAATAATTTACATCTCCAAAGGGCACATTCTGCAAGTCTGCCTCCTGGCCACCCTTTGTTCCCTCAGCCGCTCTCCCTCTCCATGACCCCGTCTCTGTCTCTGCCTCCGTCTCTGGCGACGTCGCTGCTTCTCTGGATAAGGTCCCGCATTTTGCTTATGCTCTTCCCCCTTGATGGTCCTAGGGTCCTCTGTTTCTGGACTGTAAGATTAACTACTCCCCTCTTTTTGTAACAAAACTACTACCTTTACATTTGTGATAGATGCAATTATTCACTTGAATCATACAAATCTTTTCCACATCTCTTTTCACCAGACCCATCTAGACAAGATGAAAACTATTCAGTGGGGACATTTTCTGGCCCCCCCCCCCACTCTTAAACTAAACTCCCTCTTGAAACCTTGTAAGCCAGTCACTTTGTGCTTTTATCACCCCCTCATTTTAGGTATCCAATGTCTCAGCTGTCTGAC